GGGGCAGAGGGTGTGTGGGAGATCTCTGCATCTCCCTCTTCATTTGATGTTGAGCCTAAAACTGTCCTAAAAATACAATCTTTCAAAAAAAAGTTTCAGACCTCCTCAAGAAACGGAGGACAGATGTCAGTTTTGTCCACAATTACTGAATCAATGCCCTTTGCCTACTGTTTGAATCAGCTAGGAGCAATTTACACAAAGCCAGGAGTCTTTCTGCATATTCCAGGGACTCCTGGCTGCACCTGCAGCCATCTTTAGCACAAGCTCATCTCCATAACAATGCACCAAGGCCCGGAGAAGCTTCCGGGACTGTGGCTGTTCTGATGTGCATTCACCTTCAGTTGTATGGGAAGTGAAGGACAAACACTTTTCTATAAGGGCAAACACTTTGTTTACCATCTGGAAACAAACCTTCTGGTAAACAAAGTTTGCATCACAAATTGGATTACTCCCACTCCTTGCTTTTCAAAACCAGCTCAGAAACCGTGTACATTATCTAGCAATGACTAATTGACTTTATGACACAAGTCTGAACAAAGGCCAAGGCAAGAGTTAAAAAATAATATGTCTGGCTAGGCACGATGGTTTATGCCTGTAATGCCAGCACTTTGGGAGGATGATGTTAAAAAAAAAAAAAGAAGGTGCAGGGAAAACACTCCATTTTAAAACTGTGTGAGATAAGGTAGATAAAAAGCCTAGTCATGTGTTATTTCTAAAGTGATTATGTGGCTACACCGTTGTCTATGAATAAAGGAAATCTAAGAAACTATTAGTGAACATAGTTATTATTACCTCATCTTGTTCCTAGAGAAGCCGATGGAAGTTTAGAGTCTATATTCAGGCGGGCGGGCACCTGTAATCCCAGCTATTCAGGAGGCTGAGGCAGGAGAATGGCTTGAACCTGGGAGGTGGAGATTGCAGTGAGCGGAGACCACGCCACTGCACTCCAGCCTAGGCCACAAAGTGAGACGGTCTCTAAATAAATAAATAAATTCTGAAATTATAGAAACTAGCCTGAGGCGATGAAGTTACACAAAACTTTACAGATTAAAAGTCATAAGGGATGGGATAGTGGTTTGCTGCTTTCTGTGTAAGACAAGCTTATTTTGGGGAATCATCCAAGTTTGGCATGCATCAACTCTCTTGATTTTACACTGCCAGTCCAAAAAAAGTCTTTATCTTCAACAATACAAACTTCCACAGTCACTCCCCTCACCTGTCTTGCAGTGCTCAGCTTTATATCCCTGCAGCCCCCTCACGTGTCACCCCAGCTAGGAAGTTACTCAGGGTCAGGTAAGTGGAATTAAGTGTGGCCAGTGTTTCTCTACATGCACAGACTTAAGTCTCTGGATCAGAGAGTTTAAGACTCTATCCTCAGAGTGGCTTAGTACTCAACACTATGTAATTATGCTTTTCTATCCTAACTATGGCATAAAGAAATGAAGATACCTTTCTCCTATGTTGCATTAGAGAGAAATAGAGCTTTTTGGAGTGTTTCTAGAAGGTTCTACAGGTCAACACTAGCCAGCAGGCTTATCTGCCTTCCTACTGTGCACCTCTGTCTGTTTCTCCTCATTCTCTTCCACTCCTTCTACACTATCTTTCTTCCCCTTGACTTAACCTCCTCATTAGATAAGACTGATCGCATTTCAGCATCATGGAAAAAATGGCAGGTGAAATGGAGGCTACAATTGTTTGCATCTGCCATCTGGGGCGACATACACAGAAGATATGTGTGTGTTCCCTCCCTATTTATTTTAAACATAAAATAAATTTACGTTTAAAAGTAAAAATGAAAACAAATCTTTTTAAAAAAATTCTAACTAAAACTGTTAACTGCCAAAGGCTGTAGCACTACAAAGGGGTTAGGGACACACCAGCACTAAACTGAGACTTATTTTTCTTCTAGAAAAGACATGAAAGGGATTGAAAAAAAGATGGCTGCAGGTGCAGCCAGGAGTCCCTGGAATATGCAGAATATATATGTGCATCCCTCACATAGTGATGTCAGCCACACTTTTCTACGAGTACTTGACTTGGTGAGATTGCCCTGCACTTCCAAGGTGGTGGAAGATCACGAGTCTTCCCTGAAAGGTTCCAAGCAGCATAGAGTGTCTTGTTTAGCTAATTCTATTTAGCATATATTACGTAGACTATTAGTAATAGTTCTAAGATTCAGGAATAAGCAAAAGACATCAGCCATGACCATTACACTCCAGTTGATTTTCAGTTGCTGGTCACGGTCGTAGCGGGGCCATAGTGGGACTGGACGGACAGCAGGGATGCACCGAAATTCAGCAGCCATAAAGGTGAACGGATGTCCACTCGTTGCCATTCAGAAAGTTTTCCAACCATTCTACTATAATAACCAGATAATGTTAAGTAACAGTGTTGTTAGTAGACTCATAACAAACAAAAGCTCGCCAAATAGTGACAAAGGTCAAATCGGGAGACTTTATCTGGCATAAATATGTTGAGGCTGTGTTCTTGCAGCAAGTGTATAAAGGAGATATTTCCTGGTACAGCTGCCTAACATTGACATAATGTGCCAACATCAGTGGCATGGGTACAGTGGGATGGGAAACATCATGTTCTTATTACCTATGTGTCCACATTCTAATACAACATAGAGGTGCTAATGATGATGTCACACATAGCCAGGTGTCCCTGTGAGAGTCCAGACCTTGGAAAGAGTGAGATGCAAAATCACAATCTTGAGACGTTGAGCATTATAGGCAAGGCTTACATACGAAAATAATTTGTTTTCTGTTTTGACCTGATTCCATGGTGAGTAGAATACACTGGTCTCTGATTGCTGGTGGGAGTGAGGGGAGAGGGTGTAATTTGAAGCCAATACAGCTTTATGATCCTAGAGCTCTGGCTTAAGAGAAAAAACACATTTTTATTACATTGCACAGTACTTTATGTATTTAATTTTCTGTTCTCATCCATGCATCACAAGGGTAAATCAAAGCAGAAACAAAATGCACTCTCTCAGTCTACAGCAATCTCCAAGTGTGTCCCAAGAGCATGTTCTAAAGTATCACGGGCTTGGAGAGTCCCCAAGACCTCTGAGTTCTCTCTCTTCCCTTCTTTTTAGCCCCTCTTCTCTTCTGTCTGTTTCCCTAGGCTGTTTTTGGCTTGAGCCCAGAGGACTAATACACCTGAAGACACCATCAACAGATGACTATTAGCATGAGAATTAGCCATGCTTTGTGCTCACTTGTTTTGCTGTTTGTGGATTTGCTTTGTCTTGCTATTTAGCATAAACTCTTTGGAAAGTTTTCTCTACCCAGCACCACCCCCTCGTAACCCCTTCGTGCTTACCTCTGAAAGACAGCTGAAATTGCACAATCTCCAGCTTTATCTCCAAATGATCACATACAGTTTAAAATACAATTCGAAATATTTGCAACAGATACAATTTTAAAAGGGTCCATATCCTTCACATTCTTCTTCTGGATCTTGTTCTAAATGTATTTGAAAATATGACAAACTCTGACAAATTCATTTTTTTAAAGCCCAGGAGAAAAACCAAGCATGTAATTAAATACATTTCAAGAGAAAAAATAATAATTGTAAATAAACATATCTTAAAAGGTTGGGCTGGGCATGTTGGCTCATATCTGTAATCCCACCACTTTGGGAGGTCAAGGTGAGTGGATTACTTGAGCCCAACAGTTTGAGACCAGGCTGGGCAACATAGTGAGACCCATGTCTACAAAAAATTAAAAAAAAAAAAAAAATTAGCCAGGCTTGATGGCATGCATCTGTTGTCCCAGCTACTTGGGAGGCTGAGGCAGGAGGATTGTTTGAGCCCAGAAGGTCAAGGCTGCAATGTAATAGCATCACTGCACCACAGCCTGGGCAACAGGGAGAGAACCTGTCTCCAAAACAGAAACAAAAATGAGAGATTGATTTTACGAAAAACAAAGAAGATGTCAAGTATAAGAAGAAGGAAACAGGTTTTTTCTTTTCAGATTGACAAATAGTATAAAGAAAGACACTATGAAGAATAATGGAGGACTGTGAGAATTTCTTCTGTCATTCACTGCTGGTGGGAGCCTCTCTGAAGGGCAGTTTGTTTCAAATTGTTTTCCTCTGAAAAGAAAAAGAAAGAAACAGTATGGATGATCTTAACAGTGTAAACATGTAATAATATTTTATTTGTTACATTTTTGTTACATTAAAATATAATAAGTAAAAATGTAACACTGTAATAAAATATTGGTAGAAAACAGGCGTGTGTGTGTGTGTGTGTGTGTGTGTGTGTGTGTGTTTGAGACAGTCTCACTCTGTCACAGCTTACTGCAGCCTCAACCTTTTGGGCTCAAGCGATCCACCCCACTCAGCCTTCCCAGTACCTGAGACTATAGAAGGGCACCACTACACTTGGCTGATTTTTTAACTTTTTTTATTTTGTAGAGATGAGGCCTCACTATGTTGTCCAGCCTACCCTCAAACTTCTGGCCTCAAGTGATCCCCCTACCTTGGCCTCCCAAAGTGCTGGAATTACAGGCGGAAGCCACCATGCCCAGCTCAAAAGATTGTTACAAGCTTGATGGACGTAGTGCCTGCTTAGAATAGTGCCAAGGCTAAAACTTATAAACGGAAAGAGACAAATTTGACTACCTAAAAAACTCTAAATGGCAAAAACATGAAGTTAAAACACAAACATCAAGTTAGAGAAAATAATTTCTG